ATGAAAAATGAAAATTTCCTTTCTGGGAATAATGAGGAAACTTTGGCCGTCGATTTTATGCATAAAACTGGACCAAACCAACTCAAAATACAGAAAATCAACATACTGCATAAACGCAAGAGGTAAAAAGATTACACTGTATAAATAAAAAAGGTACAACCTCCAAACAAATAAGGAAAAAATGATTCGACAAAACTATAAATCTCATGAATTTATTCTAAAAAAAAATATAATTGGCTTATTGATTTTTGAATAGTTACTATTTGAAAATTTCCAAATAATTTCCGGTACTACTGTATATAGTGTTAATATTTTTTGTAGACCTTTGCCTGATGGAGTGCATGTCAGCCTTCTTGATAACGATAAAAATAATTTGATTATGATACGTAAAAGGATTGTGTGATTTTATTAAGATCAATTCTTTAGCTAACATTAGAACCTTGAGTACCGTTTCTATTTTTTCTTTCTTTTGGTGTAAAATATGTTTTTCGAACAAATTTAATTTTGGAATGTTTTGCCTCTCTTAAAGTACCCGAATTTGAGTGAAATATCAGATTATATGGGTGATTCACCTTTTTTGGATCAGGTATTAGCTTCATTTTTTTAACAATTTCCTGCTAAAAGTATAGAAAAATAAGAAGTTGAATAAAACAATAACAGGATGCTAGTATCTTACTTTGAAAAAATATAAAGCTTCCAGAGCATCACGAAGACATTTGATATTTATGAGTTGTGCAGGAAAACTAAAAGTTGGTTCCTCTAATCCGAAATATAGTCCATCATCTAGAAGATCTATTCCAATTATCTGCCCATTCAAACCTTATATAATAAACAAAACGGTAATTATATAATTGTTTGTTAGCTTAACAACACGAATTCGATATATCTTACCAGCAAATTGAATGCCTAATATTTTTGAGTCCTGAACCTCTTCATCCGATAAATCTTCTTTTAAGAAATTATCAAGAATACCTTTCAATGTTCGTAAACATTTTGAACGATCCTGTACAGCTTTTCCAAGAGTAGGAGCTTTGGCACATTCTGTATGGCTGAGTTCAAGTTTTTTGGCTTTATGAATAATTCTCAAATCGATTTTTCGACGACGATCGGACATGGAATTAGATAATGTTTCTCCCCTATATATTTGTACAATAAAATGTCATTGGCTCATTGCTTGTACAAATATTAATAACAATAATAATGAACTTACCAGCGAAGTTCCAGATAATCAAAGGTGTCATCAAATACATTTTTTAGTATTGGTGCAATCATAGCCATTGCATATTCAATCTCGCTGAGTTCCTTATATTTGCCTGTTTTGTCTATAAATATGGACGGATTTTTCAAAAATTCATCGATCCTAACAATAAATTTAACAGTATAAGTAATCAATGCAATTAAATTTGTAAAAAAAAATTATATAACTTACACGTAGAAATATATCGTGCTTATTTGCTGTACTATTTGGGAATACTTGCCAGTTCTAATTTTATATAAATAGTCGCGAGCTTCATTATATTTATACCCATCACACATCAAAAATAGACATAAGTAATGAAGTAATGTATATATGCGCAGAAGACAATAAACTACTTTCCTCTTCGACAGTATCAATAACATTTTTTATCTCATCTTCGAAGAACTTTGGTTCCATGTTAACAATCCCATAGACCTTTCTTTTAATATCTGTCCATTCTTGCCCAAACCACGTATACATTCCATCTTCGAACTCTGAAGATAAATCAACAATTGATGAAAGCCCTAATCTGTATTTACTATGTTAGATTTTCCTTTTATTAATAATCTATTTTAGAAAAGTAAAAGAACATACCGGATAACACTTTTCATAAGTTGTGTTCGTTCTTTCTTCTCTTTTACCGAAACTAATTTAAAAATTTCTTCATCTTGGATTTCTTTAACATCTTCCATTAGGCTATAGCTTTCTTTACTTTTTTCCTTTGCTAAGAGTTGCTTTTCTAGTAAGGTTTGTTCTTTTTTTATGCTATTATCTATCTTTAAGGTATTTGTTAGATCTATTATTTTAATATTTAATTTACTCTCACTTTCTTGTACTATTATTTCCTTTCTTCTTTCTGTTGTATCCTGTATTATTTGCTTTAGTACTAATTTAATTCTATCAATTCCTTCTATTATTGCTACTTTCTCTATTACTTTCCTCTATTCTCTTACCACTATTATTATATTACTTTCTACTTCTAAAATCTCTGCAATCATTTTATCTATATGATCTTCTAACCCTATTACTGCATCACTTCCTTCTGCTATTATTTCTTTGCTGTATTCTTTTGTTACTACTCCTACTAGTCTTGTTGCTTTTTTTCTATTCTACATATTTTCAGATTCTAATCTTAAATATTTACTTTGCTTCTTGTTCTCTAATTTAACTATATCTATATTCTATATTTAAAGTGACTTTATCTTTTTAACTAAATTCCTAGTGAATTTTTCTGATTGCCTATGAAAATTCTGATTTTTGTCTTATATATCTCTTTTCTATTAGTTAGTTATGTATCATGTTCTATCAATTTCTATTATGCATTTGTTTGTTTACCTGTTTTTTATATGTTTGTATCACAAGATCTGATCTGCAATTCAAGGTAACAATAGTTCCCTAAAAATTAAAAATTTTTTAAAATTTTTCTGAATTTTTTTTACTTCTTATTATTTTCTTATGGTAGCAGTAAAATTTTTCTTGTCCTTCTACTATGCAATATGTATTTTCTTACTATCTTTCTTTTTATTTAGTGCTTCTGGTACTGTTTCTTAGTCTAGATTTTGACTTATTTCTGTTTTTTTTTAGCTCTGAAATTAGTAAAAATGATCTACAGAGAGAGTTTGAATATATTTTTTTTTTCTATTCTTTTTTTACAGTAACTTATTTTCAAATTTATAGTATCTAAATTGTCTAAAAAGTATTTATTTTTTAAAGTCTATTAAGTCAGAAGAAAGTTTATCTGTTTCTAAATTTTCTACTAAATTTTAATATTTGTCTAAATTTATATTTTAAGAATAGAGGTAAAGTGTATCTGATTCAATAATCTTAAGAGGCTATTAACATTAGAATATTTTTATTCAAGTTTATATATTATAGTAAAGTTATAAGATTATAGTTTTATTATCTATTATCCTAATCTTCCTTTAAGTAAAGAAGATTTTAACTATTTAAGAACTAAATAGTTAGTGATTAGAGTAAAGTAGTGAGTTTCTAAATATTTGTAAAAATAGTCTATGACCTATACTATAGTAGCACATTCAAATTCAATAGTACTATAGTTTATTTTTTCCTTTTTTAAACTTTTACTTACATAAGCAACTAGATATTCTTTTCTATTTTTAGATTTGACTAAGAGTAGCTCTATATTTATCATAAGAAGTATCAGTAGTAAAAATAAATTCTTCTTTGTAATTAGAATAGATTAATATAGAAGCTGTTACTAATCTATACTTTAATTCTTCAAATACTTTCTGACAATTGTCATTTTATTTATAAGGAGTATCTTTATATAATAATTAGTTCAAGAGGAGTTTTTATATTTAACTCTTTCTAATGATCTTTTTTCCCAAAATCTGAAAAAACAAAAAACAAAAATTTATTATAGAAAGATGAAGAAGTTTCTTTTATAATACAACAGTTTTTACAGAGATCAACTACTTATTCTCAAAAACTCCTTTGTATATTTAATATACAAACTAAAAGTGATATTATATAAGATAACTAGTAGGAGGAGAGAGCCCTTGTATAAAAAATTTTAGTAAAGATACACAAAGTTACTTTTTGTTAATAAAGTTAGTAAAAGAAGACTTAAGAAGGGGAATAATAAATTATTTTGTCTACATACTTCTTTGGGCTTTGCAAAACAATAATATATCGCAAGTTTTTTTCTTCTAGTTTTCTATTTTTTTTGACAAAAGTAGGAAATCTAGATTCTTTCCTACAAAAGATCAGTATTGTTTACTCTTTCTATTTTCAGAATTACTTTGTGGATATACAACTTTGTATAGTAAATATAGTTATATATTTTGTTTATTGATAAAGTAATATACTTTGTATAATAACAATTTATATACTTTGTTTATTGTTTAGTTTGAAATATAATTTCAGTACTATAGATTTTAAATTCTAAAAGTAAATTATATACTAGATAGAGAATTACTCGAGATAGGTTATAAGTTATACAACGTAAAATTTTAAGCCTAACTCAGATTATAGAGTATTTGGTTACTTTTTTTTAGTTTATTTATATATTCTATCTTTTTTATTACATTATTGTCTAACAAAGTTTTTATAACTTAAGACAAGTTTTTTTTTGTTAAAAAGCTTAGTACTTTTAAATTAGTAACAATTTTTATTTTTTTCTTTCTTGAAACTAGGTATTAACTACTTGTAGCTTAGTATTAATTAGGTTAGAAAGGACCTAGGATCTTAATAGGATCTGAAGTCATCTTTGTTGATCTAAAGATAATATCTCTTTTAGAAGAGTTACTGTGAGAGAAAAATAACTTCTATAGCAGATTGTACCTAGACACTATTTGGCAGCTAAGTGAGTTTGGAATTGCAATGAAAAAGGATTTAATTATAGATTAGTTTTAAGACTTATATAATTTGTATCTTATTTGTATCTTATAATATATATTTTATATATATCTAATAATATTTCCTCTAATAAATAACAAGCAAGATCACTCAAGTTAGAAAAAAAAAGAAAAAAAAATAATTAGTTCAAGAGTCAAGCTATTGTTAAAAAGCTTTTAATAAATCTTCAATAATATCTTATAAGTTCTAAAAATGATCAGATCTGAGTAATATTTTTAGAAGGTTGAATATTCTGTATAGTAATAATCTTTTTTGAGTCTAATAAGATTCTTTTAACTTCAATAATATGTTTTAAGAAAGGTAATTTTGTTATCCAAAAATTATATTTTTCTATATTAAACTTTAATTTAGCTTTTCTGATTCTTGTAAAAACTTTTTGCAAATGCTTAATATAATTACTAAAGTTTCAAAAGAATATATTAGTATTATTTAAATAAACAACTATATATTTGTAAGCTATATTCTTATAAATTTGGTTCATGAGATATTAGAAGGTTGCAAGAGTATTGCAAAGTTCAAATAGTATTACATTAAACTTGTAAATACTATATCTTGTTATGAATGCTATTTTCTCTTTATTTGCTAGGTTCATTATTACTTGTTAATATCCACTCATAAGGTTAAGGATTGAAAAATAAGTAGCTTCAGTGAATGCGTTTAATATTTTATCTATTTATGCAAGAGGATAAAAATCTTTTTTAATAATTGTATTAAGTTTTCTATAATTAATACAAAATCTTTACTTTCTATTTTTCTTTGCAACAAGTACAACAAAAGAGACTCAAGGACTTGTTGAATTAGTTATAAGATTATTATCTAGCATTCATTGAATTTCTTTATTAATAAATACTTGTTCAGTAAGAGATACTATATAGGGTTAAGAACTTATAGAGAGTATATCTTCAGTATAGATCTTATAAGTTACTAAATTAGTTTTTTCTAATTGAGTAATATCTTTTGCAAAGAGGTTTGCAAATTCTTTTAAAAATTGTCTAAATATTATTTTTTGTTCCTGAGTTAAGGTTTCAATTTTTAGTTTAATTTCCTAAGTTATAGTATATATTTCTCTTTATTGTAAATTTTTTTTGAGAGCTAATTCGAAGACTTCTTGTTCTGTAGAAAATCTTTCTAATTTACTAAATAGTTTTATATTATACTTGGAATGATTTTTTTTTTTTTTTTTTTTTTTTTTTTTACTTTATACAAATGCTATCAGCTAACTTTTATTAATTTCATAAATTTC